TTTGTGACGAATCTTTTGCAATTTTCATCTTTATCACAGAATTTGGAGACTATTGTATTAGGAGCAATAGGTTTTTCCAAGGTCTATCGGCTGGAGTGTTGTGGATATTAGTACATCCTTCTCTAAAACCCGGTTCAAGAGAATCCTTCCATTGAAATTTCCTTGAACACTGTTTTCAGCACATTATCATGTATTATTTCTATCTAGGCGAAACTTTTTCGAACGCTGAAAGAATACATGTCTGAATAGAGGTTTCCTACGTTGGAGCTAACAAAACGTAATAGTAATTCTTACTAAGGGCGCTAGCTGAGGAGAGCAGCAATACGATACTTATTGGCTGCTATTCATTTCATACAGAACTTTACGAGATTTTTTTGATAGAAAAAAATTACTATGATACAAAAAAAAATACTTCATACGCTTATGAGGTAACATTTGCGAGTAGTCTGCTCTGTTTACATTCATATTATGCTCGTATGTAGGAAACCATTAGAATAGAATAATCGTCAACGAGCTTATGTTCTTGTTGAAATTTGGCTGAAATTTATGGTTTTTACTGGGTTTTTCTATACGATTTTAGATTTTGAGTTAGATATGCAAATTTTTCGAATAAAGCTACTTCTATAGATATATACAATCTATAGTACTGACATTTTGAAAGTTTTATATGGCAGTGACATAATTTTCAAGAATGATAAGACTAAATGTTGGCGATGTTAGGACCAAAGTTGAGCAATTCCTGCCTATATTTGTTCAGAAAGCGTTCTAATTTTTCTCATTTGTATTTCGAGTAGGATTCGATGTGCTCTATCGAATAGTTACAATCCGTTGACGATTTATCAAATCATTCGTCCTGAAGTCTCAAGAAACGAATGTTACGCGATGAATCATGTAGAATCATAGTGGTAGGTCCTGCTGTAGGTGTTCTTGCTTGTGCTTCAAGAAGAGTTGTACGTGCTCTTTTTAGTAACACCGAGACAAAGACGTGAAACAAGTCGTGAGCGAATGATTGTTGAGAGAACTTCTGAAGTTCTCCATAGCCTGAAATGTGTGAAATCCTACGTGTAACGCAAATGAGGACATGTAGAACACTTTCTGGGCCAATAAGAGCATGTGTTATTCCTCGGGCTCCCCAGGACTCATAGAGAATAGTCAGTACTTTTCAACTCGTCGTCGCATGATACAGTACATTGTCAATTCGATTTCACCATTTGATTTAGCGAGTAGGTTTGTAGAACCATTTAGAAGCTTAAAAGGTTCTGAGTTTTACCCGATAGCAGAACTTGTAAAAAAGTCTCTGCTATCGGGTAAAACTCAGCACTTTGAAGAAAACTGAAAGTTTTTGCAAATATCCTTTATTTTTTCAGAATAGGAATTGCTTGCATCTAATACTAACTTCAGTTGTGTTGAAACTTAATATATGAGCAAGTCGTAACAAGTATTAATGTTGTGAAAGGTTTCGATCAAAATTTGAGGTATGATTTTAGTCGAAAACTAACTTCCTATAGAAAAAATTCACTGAAACTCGAAGTTTTCGCATGAATTTCAACATGAGCACAAATTCTTTGATGATTATTCTAATCTGAAAGTTTTTTATGCATGGTAATAATATGAATGTAAAGAGAGCATTCCCTCGTTAGTGGCATTACATAAGGATAGAAAAATATTCTGAATACTGATCGATTAAAAAGGCTTTAGAAAGATACTGCAATTTCAAAAGACTTACGTTTGCTTCTTGTATTGATGCGATATATAAGTTGTGACGACGAGTAGAATATTTTGATAATGTATCGATGTTATTTAATAAAGAAAATAAAAGCATTATTTTGCTTACGTGCATATCGAAAAAAAGTTTCGCTTGAATGCATTCATCCGTATATGTGAGTTAAAGCATGGTCATATATTTATTATTCAGATACACTGATTTTTTTCATAAATACAACCTCATCCTTTTGCTTGTTCTCTCACTTATCGATTACATAGCTTAAATGACGAAGCGAGAGAATCAATCAATGATAGGAAAAAAAAATATGCGTTATACGGTGACTTCATTTATTTATCTTTTCATGGTTACCTCTCATTTGCGAACATAAATAAAATTATTTTTAAGTAAATTAAATTTTTTAAAATTTTGCTTAACTTTTAATTGATCATTTTATCAATTTTAAAGAAAATAAATTTTGATTAAATTTAAATTTATAAAGTTTTTTTTAGTGTAAAATTAATAAGTTTTTCAATTTTTTTTGTGGAACAGGAAAAATTTATAGTTAATTATTAAAAATTTAAATTAAAAGATACTTTATTTTAACTAACTTTTCTATAATTTATAGAGGACGTTAGTTTTTGACAATAAAAAGTTTTTTTTGTAGAACTCACGTATATTTTCGAAGAAAATAGTGAGTGTAAGTTTTAAGGTCAAAGTTTTCCTGCTTCCCCCTCCCCACCTCATTACCAGCAACCGGGCACAAAAAGCTTCAGCTTTATTTAACAATAAATGTGAAAACCTCGAATTTAAATGCTAGAGTTATGTGTACTTCAAAAAGTGAATTAGACAGAAGAATCATCCTAGAATATGTGAACATCAAAATTATTCTGACAAACCTTTTCTACAAACACTTGTTTTCTATTAATAACTGCTCAACCAATAGAATTTCAAGGCAAGTGGAGCTCAGATTCGAATCCTCCAACCCAGAAAATTTCGAAGTATCATCTCTATGATCGGAAGATAGAACTTTAATTGTGCTCAATTAGAGCGTGAACAAAAACAGAATCAATTCCCGTTTAATTATCTCTGCAATAGGTGCCGTAGCCTTCTTGTTTCTTTATGTTTTATATACTATTTTGTAGCTCGTGAAATTCTCTATCGAATGGTATATAATAGTTGGGATTTTATTTAACTATGATAGGAAAATTTTTTTACGAAAATGGGCATAGGTCGATGTGCGCATAGAAAAGCATATGGATCAATGTCTATTTTTGCAATAACTCAGCAATGGCTCTGCAAATTATTCACATCTTTGAACTCGATCGAGATATTGTTAAGACTAAACTGTATAGAAAATTTCATTCCGATGGGACTCTCCTTTCAAAAGTTATCGTGTAAACGGCAGAACGGACGGTCGGCCACGCTGACCGATTCTAGAGTGTACTTACTTTTTGAGTACACAAAAAATTGATTTGACCAATAAATGCATTAGGCGAAGGAGAAACATAAGCCAATACCTGATCTCACTGACGTATCCTCGAGTCGCAAACTGCCTTGTCCGGGTCGATCATTCCAATAGTCGCACATTTTCTTCGTTCTTCATTTTCCTCCTACTATATGCGACACATTCGTTATCTCCGTTGTTTCCCTTTTCTGTTGTTATTCTTTTGCTTCTCTTATTCTTCAGTGTTCTTCATTTTTTCCTTTTCTTTTGAATGCAAAAACAATCAAGCTACACTGAAAAAAAAATGGTACGCTACCAATGCTTTGAATTTCCATGCAACTTCACCATACCTTTTTAGATATCGTGCGACTTTACAAAACTGTCTAGAGACTTCTTGTAAATTATAATAGTGATTTCTCCAGTTCATAAAGTTCTGTATAAAATACTTAGAAATCGTATAATGGTCAAGAGGTCTCGCATTAAATTCAATTTCTCCCTTCCGCCACCCACAACAAAAACGTATGTTCACCAATCATACCTTTAATTGACGAGACTTTATTCCTTCGTTTTCTCAATTACATTCGCACTAAAGTCGTCTCCGAATATCAAACGACAACAATCAAGCTTCATACCCCACAAAACAAAACTCAATTGTCACGTTTTCAAACGAGATTTTGCCGAGAGACTAGGGTGTGGATGTGGGCATGGTTGAGTCTGTGTCTGAGCCTAGGTTATTCCTCCATTTAAAAACTTCGACCTAGATCCTCGACCCACCCACACCCTACTTGTCAGTGCTCCTAATCAAGTCGTAGTCATGGTCACGGATTTTTACAAAAATTTTGGCCATGCTCATGCCCGACATCATTCCTCACACCTAAACAGACTACACAGGGTGTGAGTATGAGTGTGGGTGTGAGGGTGGATATCTTCTAATCACACCCACACCCTCTTAGTTAAACTAAAGTCAATGATGAACCTTCTTATCCTTTAAGGATAAATGTTATTCAAAAAATTATTATAATCGGCACATTTCAAAATGATTTGTTCCATGAATACAGATAATCTGTATTGATTGAAACTCAATTATAGATGATTAAAATTATCTCAAAACATTTCAAATCATTCAAAAAATCAGCTGTAATCAACATACTTATACAAAGAATACGGCCTTCCAAGGTGAGTACGCAATGTGAATATCATGCTCATTCTTTACAAGACGATTTAGTATGATATCACTACACTATACAGTTATAGCCGTATAGAAAAATAAATTGGGATTATTAGGGTTCGACCATCGTTTCCGTTGGTGATTTCGTCAACTGAAATACCATAGAGTCCTATCACCTGATTGAATCCGATGAGATTCGATCGGATTGTTGTGCCGGAGAAGTTTTCGAAATTGATTCCAATGGTATGAACCGCAGCTCGCTATCTTTGTAATTTAGCAAAAAAGTTGGGTGTGGATGTGAGTTTTCATTTTCTGTATACCCACACCTACACCCTCACCCTTAAGTTATGACATGCATAGAGCTGAAGTTCGAATCGAAGTTCTTTTTTTTGACTTTTACATTTTTATTAATAGTAAAAAAATGGCACTAAACAGACGAAGTTTAATTTGGAACAATCATAAAGAAATTAAGTTAATAAATGTTAGATATTAGTTCTAAATATATTCCTTTGAATATATTAGTAGATAGAATATATTAATTATAAACTGTTGATTATTATATATAAAAGAAAAAATCAAATTCAAAATAAAAGCTCAATTTTATGTAATTGGAAATAGATGAGTCATTTTATATTTAATTTTATATATTAAAGATTCATTTACTAGATGTATTAAATAGATAATTATTGCTTGTAATTTTTTTTAGGTTGTTTTAATATACCAATTTTATCATAAATATCTCCAACAATAAAATATGTATGAGCTACGGGTGGATAATCCGATTTATAATCTTCAATTTGCTTGTAAAGTAATTTTTCAAAATAATTCAATGCTTGAAAATAATCTTGTTTATCCAATGAAATATAAGCCAGAATCGTATAAATATCACATATTGATCGATTCATATTTTTTTTATTAAGTAAATTTTGAAAATAAAGTAAAGCTTGATCTAAATGCCGTTTATGAAATTGCGAATCGTTTTCAAGTGATTTGACATTAGTATCTAAATTTTCTGTCGATATTTTTTTGTCTAATTTTCTTTGAAAATTATTTGCATATGTATCAAAATAATCTTTTTCCAAATAAATATTTCCAATCATAATATAAGTAACCGTTATTGATGAATGTTCAATTGTTTGTGTTTTTAATTGACAATCAAGTAATCTATTAAGATAAATTAATGATTTATCATAATTATTTTGTTGAAAATAAATTGTAGAAATAGCTTTATATGTATTTTCTAATGATGGATCATCAACTACTTTTTTTTCTAATTCATTATTTAATAATTGAATAAAATAATCTAATGATTTATCAAAATTTTGTTTTTCAAAACAAATATTTGCTAATATATAATAAGTATTTGATAATAAAGGATCTGTTTTTGAATGAGTTTCAAGTTGTTTATTGAGTATATTTTGAAAATAATTTAAAGATTGATCTAAATGACGTTTTTCAAAATGAATATTTTCAGTAAATCGAAATATATCTTTAGGTTTATTTGTTTCAATTTTTTGATAATATAGTATTGTTTTATCAAATTGAGATTTTTTTAAATAAATTTCTCCAATTAAAGTATAAATTTGATCAATAATTAATTCATTAAATGGTTTTTTTCGTAAATAACAACCAAGTAAACGATTATAATAAACTAATGATTGATTAAAATCATGTAGTTTAAAATAAATATCACCAATAACTTCATATAGATTAATTAATGATTCATCTTCATATAATTTTGTTTCTAATTCATTTTCAACACATTTAAGATAGAAATTTACTGCATCATTTAAATCATTTTCATTTAAATGAACATTATATTTATCAAAATAAAGTTCTCCAAGAGTTTTATATGCAGAACTTAATGATGAATCACCAGGTTTACCTCTTTCTAATTCACTATCGAGTACTTTATTAAAATAAATTGATGCTCGATTAAAATCTCTTTTTTTCCAATAAACATGTCCAATAATACGATAAGTTTCAATAACTGATGGATGACTTGATGATAGTGTTTTTAATTGATTTTCTAATGCTTTTTCATAATAAGAAAGTGCTTTATCTAAATCATCTATTTTCATATATAAATCACCAAAATTTTTATAAGATTGCGCAAAATCTGGATGATTATTTGGTAATGTTTCTGTTTGTAATTTATGAGCTTTTTCAATAAATTCTAAAGCTTTTTGTTGATCACCAATTTGAGAATACATTAAACCAATTTCAGCATAAGTATATCCAAGATCTGGATGATCAAGAGAAAGTTCTTTTATTTGAGTTTCTAAAGCTTTATCAAACATTTTAGATGCTTCTTCTTTTTTATTCATTGTACCATAAACTTTTCCCATATCAATATATGTTTTTGTAATCGATACAACATCTGTAGTTGATAGACTTTGAAGAGATTTTTGTAAATATTCTAATGCTATTTGATAATTTTTCATTTGAAAATGAACTTGAGATAAACCAGAATAAGTTGTTGACGAAATATTATTTTTTGTTTGTAATGCTTTATCAAAAAATTCAAATGCAGTTTTATAATTTTCTTGATTAGAATAAGCTAATCCTAAATCATTATAACACTGTGATATAAGTAGATGATCATCTGATGATAAACTTTTAGATAAATAATTTAATGTTTGATTTAAATTTTCTATAGATAAATTAGAATTTCCTTGTTTTTCATTAACTTTTGCAAGTCCATGATAACAATAAGCAAGTTCTATATCATTTTTTGCTAAATTTTGTTTTAATATTTTTTCAAAATGTTTTTGAGCATCATCATATTTAAGCATATCAATAAAATTATATCCAATTGCAATTAATTGATTTTGTCCTTTTAATTGATTATCTAATGATGATGAAAAATTTTTCATATCTTGATCATCTTCTGAACATAATATTAAATTTGCCATCCAAAGTTTTATTTGTTCATCATAATAAATATTATCAATTCGAAAAACACAACCAAGCATAAAAAGAATTTCTTCTTCTTCAGAAAATGCACTTAAATGTCTTATATCAGCATATGGTTTTGAATTAATATTTAAATCAACATTGATTTCTAATAAAATTGATGTTAATGTATCATTTGGTGGTGGTCGACTTGTTGCAAATTCTAAAGCTTTTTTTCTATTTGTACTTGTTGATAAAAATGAATTCATTGAAATAAATTGTCCTATACCAGATTTAAGACGATTAACTTCATCTTTACTAATAAATTGTCCACGATACACTTTAATAAATGATGTTTTTTGTTGTTTTACAAATAATTTATGTTGTTCAGATAATTGTGTATTTAAATCTTTAATAAATGATTCAAAAGGATTAACATCATCAATATTTTGTGTTCTTAAAGCTTTATTTAAAATTTTATAAATACAAGTTTCTCTTGTATACCAATGAATTGCTTTTTTTGGATCATAACTTGTATCAAATTCATTCATTACTTTTTCATCAACTGTGTCGTCTGGTTCAAAATAATTTATAAGTGATGAATCATCAGATGATAACGAATCTTTTTCATTCAATACTTCGTTAAGTAATAATTGATAAAGAATAAATTCTCCATTTAATGATTTATGCATACTTTGATTATCCTTTGCTGAATAAACATTTGTACCCATTGTATCAACACGATCATTTTGTTTACCTGGATCTTGTTTTCGTCGTGGAGTTCGAGACATGATTCAGTAGTTAATTTACTAAATAATATTTAATTAATAAAGTATATAGAAAATAATTACAAGCTTTCTAATGAAATATAAATGTTGTCAAAAAATAAAACACATATGATGATAGAAGATTTCAGAGAAACAGAAATGTAAAAATTTAAGTTCGTTATTCCAACGTTTGAGTTTAATTAAATTGAACTCAAACATTCGGATTTGATGAATTTTTTTTATTTATTTAAAGATATCAAGTCTTATTCTGTCACATAATTCCGAATAAATATTTCTCAACAAGTATAACTAATGATGAAAATATTTCAGTTGATTTAAAAGCTTTCAATTGTCTTTTATTACTGGAGAAAGATTTTGAAACAAAAAAAAACCTTTCGATCAATTTGTTATGAATATCATCTACAAATACAGTAAACTTTCTCTTAGATGAGCACCTATGAGACTTTTTCAAATTTGCCCACTTGATAGAGGTGCCCGCGTTATAGAGATTTTTACAAATACCAATTACAAATGTTTACTACAATCTACATCACAAAAAGTATATATACATATACAGTACGGGCCCGCAGTATCTCCTATCTTGGATCTCAGCTACAATAAGGGCTGTTGCTCTGAAAACTTGAGTGCATTTAGTTCTCGATCAATGTAGGTCAGTGGCGAAACTCGAGCTCCTATAGCCTGAGTTACAAGAAAATTATGATGCATGCAGTTCGTTTCCATTGTGGGCCTCATAACTGCAGAACAACAAAACCTAATGAACTAAGGAACTCATCATTTTATAACCCTGTATAATGAATATCTGTAGTAAAAATTTCATCAAAATCCATTGAGTTATTGTGGAGTTAGATTCATTTTACTGTAAGGATGGTGGTGCTCTGAAGCCATCCGATCTCACTGTATGATTCACAATTCACCGTAGGTTCAACAGATTGACTTCAAATTTATAGAAAAGGTTGCCTCATTGGTCCTTGTTAGTCTTTGAAATTTTCAGACTTCTATCATGTACTAAATAGAAATGGCACTATGCTCAAGTTCTAGATGTTGTCATAGGTCTAGCTACTTGAATACTCAAGCAATTAACCTCATCCTTTGGACACATAACTAAAGGGGGGGGGGGGGGGGGGGGGGGAGGGGGTTAAAAAGCTTCGACCCCTTTAAGTAAATCGATTGTATGTAGGGTGTGGATGTGGGTGTGGGTGTGAGTGAAGAACAAACCCACACCCACACCCCACCCAAATTTTGCTATGAACGTTTTTCAAATATATTTCTAAAAAAATATAAGATGAAAGTAGTCACTCAAACTTAGTAAGATAGAACGACTTGTTAAAACCCTTATACATGGAACGGTGAGTTTGCTGATTAAGACACTAAACACATGTAAAGTATAGCGAATACCATTATTTTTATAGAGCTAACGTTTGCTAATATAAAGCAGGATCGCCAGATGTAAATCTCAAAATCCGTAAAATTCCGGAATTCCTTTTTTTTTTGAAACCCGGAAACATTTTTGAGGATCAGTTTTAACCGCTTAAAGTACGTTTTTCTCAATTAGATTATGAATAAAGATATTCTTTATATCCGTAAAATATATTTGAATAAAAAAAAACACAGATCAATGCATAGTTAACTCAATGATAAGAACTTATCAATTACACATTTTGCTCTTAATTTACACGTTTTTTTTTAGTACAATATTTTTCATTCTAATGAATAAGTTTCAATAATTCAGGTTTTGACAAAAGACTAAACCTCTATCGAATTAGTAATGATCTGTTTAGATTGCCAACCAACAAACAAAATATAATTCAGATAGAAAATATTCAAAATCCGGAATTACTCTGGAAAATTCGGAAGATCTGGCATAAAGGTATTTGATCAAGTTCTGTAAAATACCATTACTTTTTGGAAATAGCCCTTCCTTGACGAAAAAATTTACTTTAATTTTGACTACAATACTCCTAAGACCAGTGTTATTTGAAAATCGATCAATGTATTGTCACCGTTGCATTCTTAGTATGTAATAAGCAAATTATATATTGAGGTTTTGAGTAAATGTCAAAGGGAAAAAGTGCAACTTCAGGAGTGCGTACTTCACTGGTACTCCAATTTTTTTTGAGCACCAATGGAGTACTAGTGCAGTCGCATCTTTTTTTCCCCTTGGTAAGCGTAGAACACTTAGTGCACACTAATTCTTGCGCTCATTTTTTCTACTGTTTAACTCTCCTTTTTCTAAACGGAGTAAAACGATAAAAAAAATTATATGATCTCAGTTTTTCTTAATAGTCTATAGATTGTTGAGTTTTTGATCAAATAAATGTCTGTTGCTTAGCACAAAAATGAAATGTTTCTATTAAGGTTAATAATATCACTCAAATAATCAATAATTTTAATATTAAACTTAGTCTGAACAACTTCGATAAATAGGGTAACTTCAATACGATATCCATATATCATAGTTGACGTCAGAATTCAGTTGAGTTTTAAATGCACGAAAGCAGAAACCAATTCTTTGAGAAAAAAAAATTATTATAGGAATAAAGCTTTAAGAGAAAGATGAGTTATTTTTGACTTAGATAAAAGTTCACAAAATCATAAAGAAAAAACACTTCAATCTGATCTCAAGATTTTTTAAACTGTTGTATTGGAAATCCAGTCAAAAATTCACTGAGAATAATTAAGCATCGTATACCATCGATTATAGTATCTAGACAACTAATTTAGCTTTCAATTTCATTGATGATTACAATAATTTAATACGTTCTAATATCGTAATTATAAAATAAACATATGGTATAACATGCACTTGTTTTTAAAAATCATCCATCTCGTTCCAAACCTGCTCGTCTATTGAATACTGTCAAATTTATTTTTTAAGAGTCATTAATCCTTCAATGTCACCGTGTGTCCAAGAAAAAAAATTATCGTTTTATAATATCTAAACAAACATTTCATATCTCCATGTTCCTGGAATAAAAAAACCTATATCTTATAAAAAATAAAAGTATTTCTTGATCATTGAAATCTAACCAATCATTGTATGTCCCCATGTCGTCATAATCAAAAACAAACAAAAAGTTATATCTTATACAGATGGAAAATTGGTTTCTTAATTATTGAAATTTGATTATAATCATTTAAATTCGTCAAATCTTAGAGATAAAAAGATCTCTAAAAGTAACTATTCAATTCAACACCTGCTGTATATAATGAAACATATTTTATTACCTGTTAACGATGAAGAGGTAAAAAACACATCAAGTAATTTCTATCAATATAAAATGTATGCATACTTTTATACACTTATTTTGTCATTTTTAATTTTCTACCAATGCGCAATATATTTTCTTTCTACAAAGCAGTTATCCAATACATTGCTGATATTTTGTTTACATAATATTGTTAGCGCTTCTCAGCAGAACGAGCACTAATTAAGAAATAGTATAAACAAAAAAATAACATTGAATAATATATTAGTCAATTTTTTTTGTTAATGCATATATGGACCAAAAAGACGAAATTGAATGATATTATTCAATGTTGTTTTTTTGTTTCTGCATATGTGTAAAAAAATGACATTGAATTATATTATTCAATGTCATTTTTTTGTTTATGCATAAGTGTACAAAAAAAATCGAGAACGGAAAAAAAAGAATTTTTTTCCTTTTTCGAGTTTTTGTACACATGTGCATAAGTAATGTGAATTCATTGGATTCGCTAGCCCTTTTCTGAAAGAAGTAAAATGTGATCTGTGTTCAAAGCTGTTGATGACTATATATTACTCTTGTATTTTTGAGCAGCTTTTTTCATTCAAAACAATGCCAGTCCTTGCATATTATGATACAAGTAGCGCTTACATTTCAAAGAAAAACAATGAAATCAACACACAATCAAGTATTATATGTTGATACTATTTAGGATGGCACTTGGTAGTGTCAATAACGTTATCAGAATAATGTAATCAGTATTTCAAGCAATAAAAGTATAATGTATCGATTCGAAACTGGAAAGGAGCTTAGAATTATTCAGCACTCCAATTATTTTGCATGCATCTTCGAACGTGTCAAACGTTTAATGATACAGTTTGTTGACGACTGTTAAAAAGTAGATTGTAAATAAAAAGCAGACTATAAGTTATATAGTT